AAATGATGTAAGTTACTGAGCTTCATCTTCTGGACAAGAATGCCAAGTTAGTCTCTCTTCATAAAAAGCAATTACAATCTGAGGACATTTCATATTTGCCTCTTTTGCCAACACCAAGTCAGCCTCATCTGAATCTTTCCTGTTATAAAGAAAAAATTCAGTTAAAAGTCTGAATTGTTAGGATTAAAAATGATTAAAACAAATAATTGATAATTTGACATATGAAGAAAAGGCTCAAAGGGGTAGGGGTGGGCAGGAGGGGAAGGGGAGAGATCAGTTACACAGGCTGGAATCTGGAAAGAATCCATATATAGATTGTGTTTAAAACTATATGAAGAGATACAGATAGAGACTAGGCCGGAGCTCATCAGTGGGTTGGGAAGGAAGTCACTGAGATCAAAGGAGGGAAGGGTGTGTTTCCAGAAGAAGCACAGACAACTATGTACAGTACACAGTACTCGATAGTGAGATAAATGACTCTTACTGTTTTAGGTACTTTATAACATGCTATGCTTTTCATCCGTTAGAGCATAATTCTACTTATATAAGAGTTTACTGTAAAACAGTTGTTATGCCAGTGGTAGCCTCAGGTATCTATCTCATGTTTAACTGCGTATTTGGATAATATCAAGGGGCCATCACAGATGATTGATGTATACCTTTTCAGTTTACACTTAGAAGTTGGCACTCCGTGTGGTACTTTGCGACACACACAGATGAAATTGCCTAATAACATACTTCTCAGATTATAGTTCCATCACGTCATATGACTGTATTGAAATTTAAATTAAAAAAATTTGGCCTATGTGGAGTCTACTAGCTAATTAGAATTTTTTTCCAGACCACTATTTAGTCAATATTAATTTTGAAAATCTTTCTAGAACAAATCACATCCTCTGACGTCTTAATGCTTGAGATTTTTAAAAAATTATATGGAAAAATGTTTAAGTACTTTTCAGTTTTGCTTTGGCTGAGTTCTACTATATTTGAATATTATTATCGTTTTTTTTCCTTGCATTGTTTTTCTTTGAATAATTTTAATTTTTGTATATGTGTGTTTGATAATAAAGTTATACATTAAAAAAAAAAGTTTGAATTGTTTATGTCAACTGAGAACCATTCACTTAAGAACTTCATTTTCCAAAATAGGTCATGGTTTTCAGATCATCACTTTAAAACTGTTACCAAAACTAGAATCTTCCTTTCAACAAATAGTTATCCCCTTACCTTACAATGGAAATTTCTAAAACCTTTCTTAGGTATGCTGATACAAAAAAAAAAAAAAAAAGGAAAAATCTAGCCTTACTTTAAAACATAATCACCTATCCACTTACCATTTCATGAGAAACATCAATTCGCCACTACTGTCTGTGGCACCAATTATTCGTTCAGGATCAAGACCTCTAGCAAATCCTCTAGGTTTGTCAGCCTATTTATAAGAGGTAAAGTGATTAAACATAAGGTCCATCAAAGCCTTCCAATAGTGAAACAGAAAAAACTAGACTAAGAGCCTGCTTGGTATTATAAACACCTTATAATTTCCATTACTTTTAAAAACAGAGGAAATAGGGCTGGGGATTTAGCTTAGTGGTTCTGCTGCCTGCCTTGCAAGCGCAAGGTCCCGAGTTTGATCCCCAGTACCAAAAAAACACAAACAAATAAAAAAACAGAGGAAATAAATCTGTTTAATATTTGACGTAAAGAGCTTAAAATTTCTAAAACAACTGTGAATCAAGTCAAGAAAACATTCTTTATCCAAAGACATTAACAGCAGAACTGTGTGGGATTACAGAAAAACCAATTTCTTTATTTCTGGTGATAATACTTTTTTTTTTTTGGTACCGGGGATCAAACTTGGGACCTTGTGCTTGTGAGGCAGGCGGTGGAGCCAGAGCTAAATCCCCGGCCCTCTGGTGATAATACTTATAAGCTCATTAAAACTAGTATTTCATTAAGACCCAAAATATATAACAGACATTGTACAATGGGAAGAAAATGTTCAAATGAGAAGGAGAACAAGGGAAGGGGGAGCAGAAAGGAAAGAAGGAACAAGGGGAAAAGAGAATAGAAGGAAAAAGTGGAAACAAAGCTTTTGTAAATAAGGAGGGAAAGAGGGGTCAAAGGGAATGGGAAAAAAGAAGATACATCATGTATAGGACAAATTCCCTACGATGAATGTTACCATTATGTACATCTAAAATGTACCAATAAAAGTTTTGCTTCAAAAAAAATTAGTATTTCAAGTCACTTCTAGGTATTAAGCCTGAATTGTCCACATATCTTTAATGCATAAACAAAATAAAAATAGTAAAAACTGGCTGGGGATTTAGCTCAGTGGTTCAGGTGGCTGCCTTGCAAGCGCAAGGTCCCGAGTTTGATGCCTGGTACCAAAAAAAAAAAAAAAAAAAATTGGGCCAGGCATTTAGCTCAGTGGTTCCACTGCCTGCCTCGCAAGTGCAAGGACCCGAGTTCGATCCCTGGTACCACAAAAAAAAGTAAAAACTTTAAATATACTTATGTGATTTACTCTCAGAACCAAATTTGTAATCAACATCTTGCTGATAAAATAGGACATCTATAATCTTAATAGAACTGTCATGAAGATATATAATGGACTGTCCAATTTCACATCAGTCCTCTTTACTAATATAATTATATTATAAGCTTAGTACCCGAGCCAAGAAACTAATTCAGCACTAAGATCTGGCACCAAATTGTTATGCTGGGCCAGCAAGCAAGGCAAAAAGAAATCCTGAAGTCAAGAGCAGAAGTTACCTTATTTGTCCAAAACCACGGACACAGTGAAGCAAAGACTGAATCAGAGCACATGTGTAGTGAATTACTCAAATGTCTCAATTCATGCCAATAAATTATAAAACTATTATTGTTATTGAAAAGTATATACTTAAAAATTAAAATATTGTTTGGTAACACAGATCACATATATATTAAAATTATTTAAAACAATTTTTTTCTGCAAATGCTTTTTTTTTCGGTACTGGGGATCAAACTTGGGTCCTTGTGCTTGCGAGGTGGGCAGCAAAACCACTGGGCTAAATCCCCGGCCTGCTAAAACAATTTTTTTGAGACAAGGTCTGGCTGAAGCCCAGGCTGGCCCTGAATTCATAGCGATTCTCCTTCCTCAGCCTCCCGAGGGCTGGGATTACAGGTGTGCATCCCCATGCCCAGCACATAGATCACATACAAAAAATACTCTTCTGGTAGTCATTGCCACTAAAGGACTACACCAGGACATGTGATTTGGATTGCTTTCACTATAGTGTAAAGGCTTTCGGTGGTTTTTTTTTACTATGTATTATTTGTATTTAAGACTGCCACCCTTGAGACACAGGTAACTGGTCTGATGAAGGATCACATCCATCAATCTATCAAAAATAGCACTAGTAGTGCATTTTAAGTGGTACAAAGTATTCACATGATACCTATATGCTAACCTATGCTTATCTTTTTTTCTTTTAACCTAAATATTCAGTATTTATAAAAAACAAGGCTTCTTAGTGGCATTTAAAGAGTGTAAGTTTTAAGTCTTTAAAATACTTAAGTCAAAACCTTTTACAAAAAACTGGTCTAGGGGCCGGGGATTTAGCTCAGTGGTTTTGCCACCTGCTGCACAAGCGCAAGGACCTGAGTTCGATCTCTGGTACCAAAAAACAAAACAAAACAAAACAAAACCACACCAAACTGGTCTAACAGGCAATGTGTTATACTTACAGCATCTCTTTTTTTCTTTGATTTGCTATCATCAGATTCACTGTCAGATAAAGATTTTCTTTTTGTACCATCTTTTTCTTTACCAGCTTTTTGAGAATTAAGAAATGCTTCGATTAATTCTGGACAATCTAAATTTTCTTCAGGTTCCCATGTATTGTCAGCACTGTGTTGTTAAAAAAAAACAACAATTCAATTAAACATGATTCATCACCATAATCTAGATGTATTTATAAATATCTGGGGAAAAAGTTTTCTGTGCTACAGATACTAGTTGTTCCCTCTCTAGTCAGAAATTGTTTTGCGAAGACCTGTCTAGATTACCTTTCGTATTATTTGCCTTCACAGTTCTAAGTGGGCAATGTGCTATTCTACCCCCAAGGTAAGTGGATCTGATTCAAGAGTAACTGAAGCTACTTATTTTTCCAAGTTTCACAACTCATTTACCTCTAGTAGTTTTTTTTTTTTTTGGTTTTGTTTTTTGAGAGAGGGTCTTGCTATGTAGTTCAGGGTGGCCTTGAACTCACTATGTAGCCCAGGTTGGCCTCAAACTTGGGGCAATTCTCCTGCCTCTGCCTTCCAACATGCTCAGCTTCCACTAGCATTTTAAAACAATGATTTAGAGGCATTTTGAAATGTGAGACAATTTCAGTTTCTGGTAAGTGCTCAAATGTAAAACTGATATAAAGTAGGGGGCAGGGAAATTAAAAGCCAAATCCAGCCTCCTCTATGGCTTACAAGCTAATACTTTTTATATTTTTAAAAGGTCAGGGGAAATAACTTCAAAATAAAAATTAAAAATGGCCACAAATGAAGTATTCGTGGAACGCAAGTCATGCTCATTTGTTTAATGCATTATCTTTATCTATTGCTGCTTTTGTACTACAACTGCAGAAACGTGAAAGAGAAAAGATAGACAAGTCTATTTCCTTCATAATGGTTTAAGGGGTGAACATAGAGACAGCTTTTTTTTTTAAAAAAAAGAGAAGACGACTTAGTTAAAGGTGGAGAAAAGGGGGAAGACAGAGATGATAGTTAGCTACTCCCAAATACTCCTGGAGACAGCTTTTAATGTCCCATGGGATTCTAATAAAAATGACCTACCATTTGAAGGTAATGAACTCTGGTGAACTAGTTATATCTAAATTTAAATAGCTCAAAGACTTACTTTATTTGGTTTTGCTATCTGTTAAGAAATATTTTAGTGGTAAATTATTGACTTATGAAACATACTTAGGCTCAAGTAAGGACACTGACGGATGGATAAAATAAGAAAACCTAAATATTCCATTCAACAGGTAATTCCCAAATTGCTATGGAGGAAGCTTTAAATGTGACTAGTAGGGGAAGTAGGTGATAACAGATATTTGAAACTTAATCCACCATACTTAGGAAATTATCTACTCATTTTTAATTGTCACTGATTATTGAATTTTTTTGTGGTGTAAGGTAGAATACAAGCTAACTGGCATAAAACACAAGTGCTAAAAGCATAATCCCTGCATGTTTAAGTTATCTGAAGGACAGCTAACATTAAGAAAGAATGGTTATGTGCTCAACTAACTCATAACAAGGAATACCAGGAATCAAGATGAATTAAAAAAATGCCCAGGCTCTATTTAAAGAGATTGTAAACTTAGTTTAAGGACCTACAGCAGTGATAGCAAACCTTTTAGAGCTTTCAATGATAGAAACAGCCTGCTGTGGCACATGTGCCACGACTGATCTAGATTATTACAAACATCTCTGTTTAAGATCCACTAGTCTAATTGTACAGTTTCAATATTTTTTGGTGCCCCCTGTTCATAGGAAAACAATGTAGATTAGACATTTTACTTAACACAATATCTAACTACATTAATACACATTATATAATAAAAGTCTCTTCAAGGTAATAAACTAGACTCCAAACCTCAAACAAGGTACCCTAGAACTAAAGGCTCCTTTAAATTTAAACATACCTTGGGATAACTGACAAAAGAGCAAAAGATCTAGGCTAAAAAAAAAAAAAAAAAAAAAAAAAATCTAGGCTAAAAATAAGTCCATTTAAGTGCAATTAAAAATACAAACAACAACAACAATGTCTCTTACTCTGTAAATCCCTTCCACTTCAGAAAATACTCCACCTTCCCATTCACTACACGACGGTCCAGTACTTTTTCTACCACAAATTCTTCAGGCTCTGCTTCCTCAACTTTTTTACTTTTTCCATTTTGTTTCTTTCCCATTTTTTGCTAAAAAAAAACAAGAGAAAAGTTAAGAAACAAAGACTTTAAAGGCTAAAGTTCTTACATCGTTATATGACATAAATTGTTACTTGTATATCCCAAGACATACATCTCCTAAAAAGTCGACAAGACAATAAAGGAATGCTTCACTCCACTGATTTAACTCAAACTTATGACCTAACAATCTTCACCAAATGACAGAATCAAACCACTACCTAGAAATACTGTTTTCTTTTCTTAATCTACAACACCAAATTTACCAGAGTTCTCATTTTAACTGCAGCACAGCAACAAATGACTAAAGTTTTATCAAACACTACAAGGAACAGAGTAAATAGTAGTGACAGGTCTTACTAAGGGAACCCATGGTATATCTGATAAACCTGTAGCCCTAAGATAGTCATAATCCCTTTCCCAATTCAGACACCAATATTAAAAGCCTCAAGGATATAGAGAAAAATGAGAACATTTAGAATCCTGACATAACTGTAGGGTCAACAATGGAGACCATGACTTAAGTTTTCCCTGACCACTTGGAGCAAACCTACAATGCCACTACTTCAAAAGACCAAGAGAAAAAAATTAATCTGATTTCTAAAACTAAAAACAAAAAACTCAATTTCCCTGTTCTTAAACACATTTCACAAAAGCATGCTTACAACAACGCCTCAAGACTGCAAAAGGACATTTAAAGCTATGAAAACATACAAAGGTATACAAACTAATGTATCAATAAAAAGTTAAAAAAAAAGCAGACAACATTTGATTTTGTTGGATACTATTTCTAAATTAGGCCTTGTGATTTTTATTACTCAAAAGCTTTAAGACTGGACCCAATTACTTTTTCTGCCTCTGTACAGTATAAGGAAGATAAGAGTGACAGTGGGAAGAGCAAAGAAACTGGGGTGAACAAAAGGTTTTTTAAAAATAAAGTTAGGTTAAAAACTTGAAGAGGCCCTTTACAAAAAAAAGAGAAAATAAACACCAATAAGTTATATACCCTAAAGGCTACCCTATTTTGTGTAGCAACTTAATTTCAAAAAGCATCCATTTGGGGCTGGGGATTTAGCTCAGTGGCACCACCCTTGCAAGCGCAAGGTCCTGAGTTCGATCCCCAGTATCCCATCCCCCCGGCCTGGAAAGCATCCTTTTGTTTTATGTAACTATTTGCATCGTCAAATATCATAGCTCACTTCTTTACCATCTAATACTTGAAGGTTACAGGTAACTGTAAAAGCCAATTCTATTATCTGGATTTTGACTTACTATAGAATCTGAAGGTCAATTCAATCCTGAAGAGGTACAGGAAATGCTTTATGCTTTTATCATTGTTTTTCAACCTACACAATCTACCACAGACTTATCAAGACAGACTTTACATTACATAGCTCAATCTGTTTTCCAGAGTATTTGATATCATGTACAATCCAATGATGGCACGAATTAAAAAATCATCAACTTGCCCCTTTTAGTATGAAACCCAAGAGGAAAAAGGAGATAAAAACCAAATGTCTGCTCTTTACATAGGCGTTAACACCTTTATAGATAGAATTAAACACTATGGGAACAACAACTTTAACTTTCCTGATTTTGATGTTCTTCTAAAAAAACTTGTAATTTGACATGGTTAAATCCATTTGAACATATTCCCAATGAGAAAGGTACCAATAAAAGAATTTAATAAAAAAAATCCATTTGTACATGATTTTTATACATCTGTGTAACTTGCTATAAAATCTAAGAATGTATACTTTGCACAAAGCACCTAGTTTTAAATAATATACCTGACTTCTCCAGAATTCAGTAGAAATCTAAGTGGACATACAGCTTTGCCTACGTTAACATATTCTTCCATGTTACATAGATGTGCATTTTTATTTCAAAATGCCCTCCTAAAATTAGGTTTTTTGAAATGAATTTTGAGCCTTTTAAGTCAAGTGCATAATATCATAATGGTAACCATTTCATTTTGTCCCCAATTCTCCTCCATAAAACCAGTAAGGGAGCTGGGAAATACACAGATACAAATTTTTCAACCACAGAGATAGTTACATTTTTTTGGGAAAAAATTTAGTTAGATCCTTACATGTTTTAGGTTTAAATTAACTTACCAATGTAGTTTTATTGGAGGCCATTTTTTATTGCAGACTTGCAGAGCTATTACTAGAAAAATGCATGACAGTTAAATTGTTTTCATGACAGTAAAAGGTAGGTAAACAAGTATTCCTTGGACTTCATCCCCCCACGTAAGTAATGCACGTTTCAGACAGCTACAAATCCAAAGCAGCAGATTTATGCTCCAGGCTTTAGGTTTACACACCCAAGCATTTGCGTTCTAAAAAAATTAGTCTAGAAAACATTTTCTAGGATTGGTGCCTACTGGTACCTAAAACAGCTTTACATAGGGAAAATAAACGAGTATCTTTTCTAATCTGTCTTACTTATAATTAACTAAATTTTTTTAAAAGAAAAAACCTTTTGATTCAAAACCAGACACAATTACTAAACTAACGGTAAACTACCAAATATTTTTCTCTAGCCTTCAGAACAGTCCAGGTCTCCTATCTAATTCACTTGATTGCTTTTCAGCAGAAATCTCTCTTTCTGATCAATGGTTTAATAGAGAAAGAACACTGAGATGCTTCAGTGCATTCCGTGACACTTTTGAAATCTCGGCCCTGGCTCGCCCGCTCCCCTCCCGGCTCCGTTCCGGCCTCCGGAATCCTAGGTGCCAAGCGCCCACCCCCACCCCCACCCCCACCCCCACCCCGGGGCCTCGTGGTCAGCGCCTCCGCGGGGAGACAAAGGCCGCGGCGCCGGGGCTCAAGGGCACAGCGCTACGGGGCCCGCACACCCCTTGGGCGGCGGCCGCGTAACGGGATGCCCGCCGCAGCCTCCGGGCAGCGACTGCGCGCACTAGGCCTTGCAGCTGCAGTAAAACGCACCGATCTCCCCGAGGCCCGGCTCGCCGGCAGAGCGGCGTGCCCCCCCCCCCCCATAGGGGACCCAGGAGAAGGGGGAGGGCGCTTTGTCTAGAAATAAGGCCGCTGTCACTGCGGCTCTGCACGCGAGACCTCCGCGATAGTTTCCTCCCCACCTAACTGCACGAGCGGCGCCAGGCCAGTCGCCGACCTCCGCTTGCCTCTCAGCTGCTTCCCGCAGTCCCCGTCGCCGAATGCGGCGAGAAGCGGCTGAGAGGGCGATTCGGGGGCACCCGGCGCACGCAGTAGCCTGAGCACCACCACCAAGGGGGAGGGGGGATTGGAAAGGCCACCGACTTCACCGCCTGGGATGCTCGCGTCGCGGTTCCACAGCGTCTCGGCCTGCGTGCCTGCAGCCGCACTCACATCCGAGGAAAGGGGGCCAGGGCGCAGCGCGGGCTTGGGGGAGGGGGGGGTGACACCGCCCATGACGGGCGGCCGCGAGGGGCGGGGCGCGGCCGCGGGGGGCGGGGCGACCGCAGCACTTACGGTCCGCAGCGCGGCGCCGGATGGTCCCGGCGGGCGGGCGGGCGGGGAGGAGAAACGGAAGGGTGCGGGGCGAGGACCGTGACTCGAGCCCTCTCGGCGGAGGTTTTTCCTTCTCCGCAGCTGCTGGCGCCAAAGCCAGACTCCTCCCCCTTCGTCGCCTCTCGTCGTGGGTGCCCTGACGCAAGAGAGGGCGGGTCCCAGGGAGCTAAGAGCGAGAGCTCCCTTAATCTCGCTTGGGGAAGGCCGCCCCCCAGGACAAGGGGTTAATCCCACGGCCTTTGGCGGGGGCTCGGTTGATGCAACAGTGATTTGTTGACTACAGATCGCTTCGGGTGTTTCCGGAAGGGGCCCAGTCAGTCCTATACTGGGGAAAGGAAAACGAAGGGGAAAGCTAAAAGAATTGTTTTAAGGCGGGAGAACCTGGGGGATGGGATTATCAAAGGTGTACGCGGAGGAACTCTTGGTTGGAGGGGACCGGACCTCAGAGCTGAGGATTTAGCTCCACCCACCAGCGTTAATTTCAAACTGCGCGACCGTTTCTCACCTGCCCTACGCTAAGGAGGGGGCTGGACGCAATTCTGGGAGGAGCAATACGCAGGACTCGAGCCTTCCGCAATTCACCGAGCAAATTTGCGCAAATGACGCAAAGCACTGTCGCTGGCCGCAAATGAGAGAGGAGCACGTACTCGGCGTAAAGGGGGCGTAAGCACTCCCGCCATTGGCGGCGGTTAGGGCGTTTACGTTACGTATTGACGTAAGGAAAGCCGCGTTACTGGGGGGGGAAGGTTCTAGAAAAGAGGCGGCAGCGGCTGTAGCGGCAGTAGCGGCTGCGCCGGGTGCCGTGTGGACGTGCAGTTAGCGGTGTTTCTCGAGCAGCAACAGCTCTCACTACAGCGCCAGGACGAGTCCGGTTCGTGTTCGTCCGCGGAGATCTCTCTCATCTCGCTCGGCTGCGGGAATTCGGGCTGAAGCGACTGAGTCCGCGATGGAGGTAACGGGTTTGAAATCAATGAGTTCTTGGAAAGGGCATGGCGAGGCCGGTGGCGCCGCAGTGGAAGTCGGCCAGCTGCCTCCGTGGGAGAGCGGCGGGAGACCGGGCCGCCCCCGTGGCGGTTCTCGAGGTGTTTCCGCGAGGGGTCGGCAAGCGGAGGCTTAATTGTGTAAACGTTTTCCCCACCCTCAGTCTCCCGGCGCCATTTCCCTTTTCTGGGGTGGGGGATGGGGAAGCCTTTTCTGGTGGCCGCAGCCCCCTTAGCGCCTGCGGGGCGCGGGAGCGGGCACTCTCCCCCAGAAGGCCCACGGCTTCGGGGGGCCGGGCGTTTCGGCGGGCGGCGGGCGGCAGGGCGGGCGGCGGGGCCTCGCGAGTTGCTCTGCGGAGCCTCCCCTCCCCCTCTCCGGGAACCGGATTTGGCGGCCGCCATTTTCCTGTCTCCTCTCCTCTTCCGCAGCGTTTTTGTCTCAACTCTCTCAACGCCGCTAGTTTCATTTTTCTGTGGACGCATACTAGTGATTAACTATTTTTCTTTCTTCTTGGGCTGTTTGCATCTCGTTTCGAGGTGGATTTGGAGTGTTTTGTGAGCTTGGATCTTTAGAGTCCTGCGCACCTCACTAAAGGCGCTCTGCCTTCCCCTCGATGAAATGGCGCCATTGCGTGCAGGAGCCACACAGAAGAGAGGGCGGGCCGGGGCGGGGGGGGGCGCTCTGCAGGGCTTCCTGGCGGCGGCTGAGAGAAGGTATCTCGGCCTAGGGCGTTGGGCCGCTTTTAAAGCGAGCTGTCTGACGAAGGAAGCGTTTTATGCTTTCCAGACCTCGACAGTTGAGTAACGGTTTTATTTGCGGCTGCAGTGATTCAGAAAGCAGTTGAATTGTAGGCAACTTGTTAAAAAACGTAGAGTCCTCAGGTTACTATGGAGCGTGTCAGTGAGCGACATTATTGGGCGGGGGGTTATTCATTTTAGTAGTCTATTGTCCTGAAGGGTTCTACTTGAATTGTGGAACTTTTTCGTATTTAAATAGTATTTTTATTGGGAGGTTAAAGCTACGGATCCGTATGTCAGAAATTACAAAGAAAATGAAGTAAAAACTAGTTGTTTTACTTTGGTTAAAATATGGCTCAGTCCTTGATTCGTTGAGTGTATTACTGTGGACGAAGTGTTTTTAGGTAGGCCTGAGCCATTATGTATTTGAACTTTAACTTTTCTCATTTGTTCGCAATTTTGGTTGATGATTACATTGATAAGCACAATGCGGTTTTAAGCGAAAGGGGTCTACCTGGTTACTTTCTTTGACCCTAAGCACATTTATAAAAATAACTTTTTTTATAATCGATAGTGGACATCGGGTAAGTTTGGAAAAAACTATGAGGTAAGTAAGAGTTTTTGCTTTTTGTTAGCGACTTGTAAGAATTGTAGATATATTTTACACATTTGTAGTATGTGAGACCTACTTACTGAACAATTAAAATATAATTAAAAATTAAATGTCAAAACCATTTCTTAAAAAGTATTGTCTCAAAAGGAACTAGTTTTGAGAACTTAAGGTAAATTTTCAGAATGTTGGACGTTTGTGCAGGCAAAAAAGCCTGAATTGGCTTTTAATTGATTTTTGACCATTTGAGAGAATACGCATAGAGGGAAAATCTTCAGAGAACTGGATTGAGAGAAGTAATGTTGCTCAGTAGGAGCAAAATTTTATTTAACGTATACACAAGGCAGTTGGTCTGGATACGACGTATGACTTGTTAGCCTAGTTAGTTATCTGTAAGCTAGGTTTAATTGCCAAAAATAAAGGGAGGTTTAATGTAACGTTTTCTTGCTGGTTTGCAGGTAACTAAGAGATACCTACTCAGATGTTTTTGACTTGTAGAATTTAAGACACTGGTTTTATGTTGTGTGATTTTCCCAGGTGCTCAATAAGTTCAATAAGCTTGATCTGGTTTAATGAATTGAGGAAATGATAGTGTAATAGTATGAAACTTTTTATGGTTTTAAAATGTGAGTTACTGTACCTGTAGATAATTGTAACTTACGTTCAGGTGGTTAAGGTTGTACGGTTGCCTAAGCCAAATACAGGGATGTCTGCCCCACAAAAATTGCTTATTGTAACCTTTTTGGGGTTCAGATATACACATTGTTGATTATAAAAATTAATTTGGGTTATAAGATTTACTATAAGGTTATGTTGTGCATATAATGAATGTTCAGAGTTTTTTCTTAATTGAAAATTGATATGGAGAAACACCTTGTTTTTTGGGTGGGGGGTTGGTTGAGCTGCTTAGAACTGCCACCATAGGGGCAATTTAGGAAAAACTGATTTTGGATAACGAAACCTGAAATAAATGGTAAAACTTTGTATGGAATTTAAGTATGGAACCAAGAGGTTTTTTTGTTTTGTTTTTTTTTTAAATTGAAAAATGTATAGATTGAGTAAAGAAAGATAATTTGTTTTTCAAGGATGTAGAATTGAATGATAATTTTGGTAAGAATACTTTTAATAGCTCTTCACTGACCATCGAATCAATGTTTCTCCTAGAAAGTTTTTGAAAGACGTGATACTAAATTTGCTTAAGATAATTTTAAGTCAAGTAAATTTAGATCAAGCATTAGTGACTTTGCAACTTGTGTAGTTCAACTGAGAGTTTTTTGGTGTAACGCAACTAATATGTAGTTTAACATATGGTTTAAATTTGATGTAAGTTTCTTTTTTCCCCCCCAGAAAACTTTAGAAACTGTTCCTTTGGAGAGGAAAAAGGTACTCTGCCAGCAGGTCACCTCATATTTACGAATTTAATTTCCTGCATACAAAGAGAAAATGTAAATAAAAATTGAAATGGTATTTTCCTTTGCAGAGAGAAAAGGAACAGTTTCGTAAGCTCTTTATTGGTGGCTTAAGTTTTGAAACTACAGAAGAAAGTTTGAGGAACTACTACGAGCAATGGGGAAAACTGACAGACTGTGTGGTACGTTAACTATGGAAGGCTGCAGATAATAGCCTCCTAACTTAAGTGAATCTTGTCAGAAAACAACTTAATATTCATATAAAACATTCTATTTGATGTTATGAATTTCTAACAGTGAAAATAAATACTAAAGATTCCTTTTTGGTTTTAAAGGTTATGAGGGATCCTGCAAGCAAAAGATCAAGAGGATTTGGTTTTGTAACTTTCTCGTCCATGGCTGAGGTTGATGCTGCCATGGCTGCAAGGCCTCATTCAATTGATGGGAGAGTAGTTGAACCAAAACGTGCTGTAGCAAGAGAGGTGAGCAAAGCAAACTAAATGCAATAAACATGAACATATCCTAAGCAGAATGTAACTTTTAAAACAAATAATGCCTAAAGTGGTTGGGTTCCTTGGACCTGGTGTTTTTTGTTTTTCAAGACTAGGCTCTTGAAACTAATGTTTTACCTTATCTGTCGTAAAAGAGGTTTAAGCCAGATGAAACAAAAAGATGGAAGGAATGCTTGCAATCATGCTTCCGACTTTTTTCTCTCAGGTTAACTCTCCCCCCCCCCCCACTTTTGTAGGAGTCTGGAAAACCAGGGGCTCACGTGACTGTGAAGAAACTGTTTGTTGGTGGAATTAAAGAAGATACTGAGGAACATCACCTTAGAGATTACTTTGAAGAATATGGAAAAATTGATACCATTGAAATAATTACTGATAGGCAGTCTGGGAAAAAAAGAGGCTTTGGCTTTGTTACTTTTGATGACCATGATCCTGTGGATAAAATTGTATGTAAGTGTCTGTAGTTAGGTGTGCAGCCCTTGCGTGTATTAAATTTGGGGTAATATCTATGATTGCATTAGGTAAAATTCCTATTAGCATGTGGATTTAGGAGATTCTGAATTTTTGTTTCAGTGCAAAAATACCACACCATTAATGGTCATAATGCAGAAGTAAGAAAGGCTTTGTCTAGACAAG